ATCAACTCCCCCAAACTATTCTCTTACTTATCCTCAAGTAACTCATAAAGATCAAAGGGAGAGAGAATGGAAAATGGATGCTCATAACCAAAGAATACACTTCTTAGACTCAAAAACATCCTAGACAAACATAACTTATAGCATAAGCAATCTCAATTAGTACACTCTATCTTCTCAAGGCCTAGTAAGACTCTTTCTTTTAGACAAGTTGTGGATCACCAATCAACAATTCTCTTCAACCAACCCTCACATTCAATTAAACATAAGCTAATAAGGTGAGTTCTTGCAAATGGAAACTTGATCTCAATCATTTGGCTTGGTAAGTGAAATTGCTAAATGAGAATAGACGAGGGGTTTCAATACATTTCTTTTTAGTGGCTTACACTCAAAAATAGGAGCTTGATCATTATGCAAAATCTATCTAAGAAAAGGAGCAACTTATGCATACATTGCTTGTTCTTATCAGTCTACCCTTTTCCTAAACATCTTTAACTCTACCATTTTCCTTAGTGTAGATCTCAAACCCATTCATCCCCAAAAACATTAACATCACTTTCGAACCAACTAGGACTTTTTCTTTCACTTTTTACTTAAGCTCTACTCTTATTTTTCTTATGTCTTCCCCAAAGTCTTTCCTAGACTCTTTTCTTTCTTTATTTTCTTTAGTCTATGGGGTTTCTTATTTAAAGTTTCTAGAGCTTTTGTTTCTTTTTCTTTTTATCTCAAGTGGTTTTCTTTTCTTTTTCTTTCTTTAGTTCATTATTTTCACTCATCTAACACCCCAAGACCCAAAATAAACTCTTTTGCACCACAATACCAAACTTCCCATCCTAATTGCTAGCTCCCAAGAGGTCCTATGATTAGCCTGAGATAAGAACAACCAATGTCGCCCCTAATACTCTCAAGTTTTTGCACATGACAAGCTATCAAAAGAGACCTCACACAAGCAAAAAGATTTAGGCTTCAAAGAATGGTAAGGTTTTAAAGATAAGGAGTGCCATTTGGGTTGGAAAGAGATTGGTATGAAGGGTAAGTCCAACCCAAATGTGTATAATCCTTGATCAAGCATGCAAGAGTCCATAGGCAAGACTAATTAAGTTCATTTTAGCTTTTAAATTCATTTTGGAGTTGGTTTAAAGAGAATGCCGATCTCACACAAGCAACAAGTTTAAAGAATGAGTTTTCAAGGCTCAAAGCATGCAAGCTTTTTAGGAGATGCTTATGCTATTTGCTATGATCACCTAGGGTGTGATTTTGAGTTCTAAGCATGTGTTTCCTTATTAGGTCAGCTCCCAATGCATGAATGCAATCTAAATGCTTCTTGACTCAATCCTAAAAATGCAAATGATGCAACCTAAATGCTTGTTTTTGTTTCTTTTTAGAATTTTTTCAATTTTTTTTTTATTTTTCTATGCATGTATGTATGTGAAATGCAATGCATGAGACTCAAAATCAACAAAGCAAACATGATAAAATACTTGGTACCTCCCCCAAACTTAAATCACACAGTCTCTGTGTGAGTAAGAGAGAAGGAGATACCGAAAATATGAGAAAAGCAATGGTATATACAAAAAATGGTTGGAGTGATACCTCAAGTGGGAATGAGCAGTGTTGTGGCTATTGGTGTTTGGGCATGACCTGTGGGCATATTGAGGAGACCCTCAAACTTGTTCCTGGCCTTATTCAACACAAAAGAACAACAATATATACAAAGATAAACATGTGAATTCCTCCCAAGTGAGTTTGTTTAAAGTCTCTTAGCTTGACTACCTTTGTTTACCTATTGAGAAGGAGGGTCCCTCCCACTTTCAAGGGTGATGGTGAGGACGTGTGTAAGGAGCTCTTGGATCTTGAGTGGATCAGCTTGGAGTTGAGGAGAGATAATGGCCCTGGCGCTTGAGAATGGCTTCGACCTTCCCTTGCACTTGATCTTATACTGAATGGTTCCATCCTTTAGCTTTAAAGGGTAGAGTGTGAGAGTGTGTGGCATCCTGGGAAGCTTTGGAGATGGAGGAGTTTTCATCTTCTTCTTGGTTTGGGTAGCTTCACTCACCTCCTCCTTGGTAGCATCTCCCAAGTTCTCTACACAACTCTTCTTTGAAGATTTTTCACCAAGAACTTCTTCCTCCTTAACAACCAATGCATCTTTCAAAATTGTTCCACAATAACCACAATTCATCATTGGTGACTTGATTGGATAGGAGACTTCCTTGTTGATATTGTGGAGGACCACCTTCTTGTTTGGGAAGTCATTGCAAGCTCCCACAGTAGCAAGGAAAGGTGTGCCTAAGAGTAGTGGCATTCTCCTCTTGCTAGCCATATCCAAAACAGTGAGGTCTATTGGTATGGTGCAAGTTCCAATCTTCAAAGGGAAATCTTTGATGGGACCAAAAGGCTTTGTTGAAGAGGAATAGCCAAACATGAGGGAGGAGTTGTTGGGTTCCATGCATTTGATCTTCAAGCTCTGAACCATCTCCAATGAGATCACATTCACACAAGCTCCACTATCCACAAGAGCATCATCAACTTTGAAATCACCAAGGGAACAAGGTAATATGAACTTCCCTTGATCTTCTAGCTTGGGTAGAGATTTTGGTGGAGGTTTAGGATCCACCAAAGAGGAAGAGATGTCAAGTAGCTCTGTCACCTTTTTTTTGTTGGCTATAATGTCTTTTATGAGCACTAGCTGGTCACAAGCCTCTTGCAAATGATGTAGTATAAGAGATGTCGAACCAGTTCTAAGTGATCCTAAAGCAAAGGGAATGCAAGACCATGCTCAATCTAAGTGCAACCAATTAATAAGATGATATTGAACTAGAATACTACTAAAATGCAATAAAGGGATGATCTTTCTTTCTCAAAATGAAGCAATAGGACTCATGGGACTAGAAATTTGATCTTGGGTGATGTAGATCCAATCTAAAGATGGCAAGCTAGAAATCATACACTTTCCTTATGCCTAGACACAATCCTAAACAAGCTCTATCTCTAGATGAATGTTCTTTTACTAAAGCAACTCAAGCATCTAATCTCTTAGGTTGAATATTACTAAAGCAAACATGGAGAACAAGTATAATGGCAATCTTAACTTCCTTAGCAACTAATCTCTTAGGTAAAGCAAGTTAAAAGCATTGAAGAGTTGGTTCATGCATTTCATCATACACCTTGTGGGCAGGAAATGCCTAGAGATCCATTTTAGTATGATCAAGACTAAAATGGCATTGAGAACCCTCAACAAGCAAGGAAACAATTAAATCTAACACTAAACATCCTAGATCTTCTCTAATCACCCTTAATCACTCTAGCCCATGAATCCAAAAGGAATCTACTCACTAATCTTCATAATTAACCTTAAACTCATGGTTGATTTAAGAGAAATCATGTTGAGAAGCAAGTTTAATCAAACAATCACAAAGAAATAAGAAGAAAAGAAAATAAAGATTCAATCCTTTTTCAAGGTTTCAATGTGTTCTTAGAGAGAAAAGAAGATAAAATCTGAAATTAGGTTTACAAAGTATTTATTGAAGCTGGAAAAACGAGGGTACAATGGTAAATATGTCTGGTCAAACTTTGTATGTTGACTTTCTGAACGCTCGCAGCTATTTGTTGAAACAGCTCCACAAGGCAGCTGTGGCGCTCAGCTGTTTCCCACCTTCATCTCATGGCCGCTGCATAGTCCAGAAATTGGACAGGGACGTGTTATTTCCCAGCTATTTGTGGCCACAACAACTGCTCGAAACAGCTCCATCTGACCGCTGGGACACTTGAAACTCCATGAAATCCCTCCAAAACATCAATCTTGCCTCCAAAACATCCATCTTGCCTCCAAAGTCACCACTTGGCATCTTCATAACCTAATAAGAACGTATGAAATAGAATGCAACCTAAACATATCTAAATGCTATACTAAATGATCAAAATGTGCAAGAATGGATGATCAAAACAATGCAAATATGCAAGATATCAATAAATTATTTATAAGGGTTTATAAATCATTTATAAGGATTTATAAATCATTTATAAGGATTTATAAATCATTTATAAGGATTTATAAATCATTTATAAGGGTTTATAACTCATTTAGCTTGTGATCTACAATAAGTCTTTTCTTTTTATAATAATAAAACTAAACAAAATTTGAAATTTTCTACTATTGAATTAGCATTTCAAAATAATTCTAACGGGAGAGATGATGTATTTCTGTTGACTGTTACAATAAATATCTTATTTTGTTTCTATCTAACTTTGGAAATTCACTTTCTATTTATAAGGGTTTATAAAACTATTTATAAGGGTTTATAAAACCATGTACAAGAATTTATATAACCCATTTATAAGAGTTTATAATTCCATTTACGAGATTCCACCAGTTTTATGTGTTCATTATGTGTTCGAAGAAGAGCAAATGATGCTTTCCATGCTAAAGGCAGACAGTATATAAAATCATAAATAACAATTTTATAAATCATAAATCAATTTATAAAGTTTTAACACATAAAGGCTTATAAATCATTTTTAAGGGCAAATGATTAACAAATCTTAAAACATTTTATAAAGGCTTATAAATCATTTTTAACGGTTTATAAAGCTTTTATAAAGTTTTATAAATTATTTATAAGTGCTTATAATTTCTAATAAATCTTTGTAAATCAAGGGATGGAGTATATAAGAGAAGCGTTACAGGTTTGTTGTTAAAGGATGGGTTGATTTGTAGGTGTTTGACAGCAATTGAGTTTGGTATTCTTTGGAAACATGCTAAAAAGCTGATAGAAGAGACAAGAGTGATAACACATTGGAGGCAACAAGTTTTGATACAACAAAAAAAAATGGAGGAAGAATTACAACATTCACATGTATGATGTATCATCACTTGTCACTTGCTTCTATGTCCCATATATGTCTTACTCAAGATGAGAAACAAAGAAAGTAACTAACTGCCCTAATGTAAATTTAACCTCAACATCTGGGACACAAACCAGGGGGGTCAATATTATAGATTCTTACAAAATGTTCCAAGAAGAAAGTTTATTGCAAGGGGGGTCAGCCTTCTTTGACAGATTTACTTTCGTGAGAGACTCAACAGCTGAGTTTATGGCTGGTTTGATTGGATCGAAAGAGAGTAAGCGGTTTATGTCTATGCAAATGCGGATGTGTTGGAACTTTTCGGATGGCTCTTCCACTGTAAGATCGTAAGCGTTTTCTGCTACGGCCATTTTGCTTACAACCTCCATGAGATAGCTTCCATATCCTTTTCCTTGGAAGGAAGGCAGGACCAGGATCTGGAATCAAGAACCAATAATTGTCATATAGAAAAGAATGCAAGAAGAACTGAGATCATCGAGGTGTACATATACTATTATTACCTGGCTGAGTCTCATCCTTAACCTCTCGGGATAATGATAGAACTTATAAATAGCAGTAAAGCCCACAATTTGATATAAAGGCTCTTCTTTGTCCTCTTTCTTTTGAATTAAGAGATATAAATGCCAGTCAGGGTCAGTGACATCAATGGGTTGCTTCCTGATATAATGGACCAACGTCTGGTTAATATACTAACAAGAGAGACGATAAACATTCGAGATGCCATCAAAGAGAAAGGTGTGTGATTACCATCTACAAAAAGAAGAACAAGGGGAACCAATCGGCTATAGAGAAGTCCAGCATTTGGAGAACCAATCTCCATCCGTAAAACCTGAGGGAAATCGACCATTATATATGTTCTTTCTTAAACAAATTTTCAGTTTCCACTGCTGATAAAACCATCTCAAACTAATTTGTTCCACTAATAATTACAAGATATATAGCGCAAAATTACTTGGAGATCTGAAGGAGCCACTTGAGCATTAACGCTGCTTCCATCTATCACTCCGGAATGTATTACCTCTCCGGAGTTACAGATTGGTTAATCGAACTTGACCAATTTGTTAGCTAGTTACCTGTTAGCTAGTGCTTACAATGAGAAAAATAACACAATCCAAAAATCCCAATTCAATATAATACATTCCCTTAAAACAATTGAAAGTCCGAGTCTTTACACCATACATAATGAAACAGAACTCACGCATGCCAAAAAAATTAACTAAACTAAGTTACTACAAGTCTCTCTGTTACATACATTTTAATCTCTTTTATTGAAAGAGTGAGTCTTTCTTATACTAAAGCCTACATAAAGCCTAGCAAATGAGAATTCAATGTAACCTAGAAACTATATATATATAAGCAAATTAAAATGTTGGTCAAGCTTCAAGTAAAGTGAACGAACATAAAACAAGACAAGATCTTTTAAACATGTGTGATTCACACAACTCATAACCTAGAGATCGTATCTGATACTAGATTATCTTACATGAAGAAGAACGCGGTGATGACGAGGCCAATCGCTAGAGTGAACAGCGACAAAGTCGAGTACATCGCCACCTGATATACCATGATTTTGACCCACTTTTGGTGATGGTATTGATATGTTTTTATGTATATTTACTACAATATAGAGTCTATTTAGAGTATTTACAGGTTCAGGTACGTTGTGGAGAAATATGTTGATTTTGGTGTCTTTTGGAGCCTTTAAGTGCAGAACTGCGCAGACGCGTCAGATGTTTAGATATGGATGGAGACCTTCCCATGTTGCGAGTTAGCTGATCTTTTGACACAAGATATAGCTTTGAGTTAGCTTTCCAATGCCACCGTTTTGGGGTCAATCAAACGGTTAGATCAGAAGTTATGCCTGTGTTTACTGAAGAGTGGACAGTCTGCCTCGCGAGAGAAGACTGTCGGGAAGATATGTGCATATCGATCGATGAGAGACACTTCATATCGATCTATATGGATGCCAGAATGCGGGCCGAGTATATTTCGTGATCAACTGAAGCCCAGAAGAAACCTAAATTACCAGAATGCCCTTGGACGACCAGAAACCTTATTTATGTTATTTGCAAGCCATTGTTGACGGCTAGGCTATGCTATCTACGCTTTCTTTTCATCTTTTGTTTTGATTGTTCTTAGAGAGGAGAGAAGAGGGGAACTCCTTCAGAGTCCTCTTGGAACTCCATTGTAATTATCTTTATTTTCTTATTCTATTATTATTCACACTATGATTTGTGTTTCTTCTATCATGTCTAAGTAGTTCATCTTGTTAGGCTTAGGGATTTCATGAGCTTAATGTTAAACTGAGCATCAATTAGGATTGCTAGAATATCTATAGATCTCTACACCAGGGTGATTTGTAATACTAGGATCTGGAGTAATTAGGATACCACGATAGTGTGACTAATTGTTTGAACCTAGAATCATAGGACAATTGAGATGCACGAACGTGCAGTCAATTAACGGAACCCGAATTCTGCTGGATTAGATACTTAGGCACATATGAGAATTTGGTCTAGGAATCTAGTTGAACATAATTGATTAGGTCGTTAATGCTTGTCTGAGGTAATATCGATCGATACTCAGGCCATAGTATCGATCGATACTCACTTCTTGTTCGCATGCGAAAGGTGGAACAAGGACTTAGACATCTGATTAGTAATTGCATTGATAGATGGATTACTTACTTATTAAAATCGAGTTCTAGAATGAATCTATAAGCTGTTAGCATCTTGAAT